TCCTGAGCACTGCGTTTCTCTGTTTGTGCCCACTACTGCACAGGAGCACCCCAACTCAGCACGCACAACATTGAACTCGTGACCCTCTCTTGAAAACCTCTCCTGCATTGTTCACTGCAATTGGTGATAGCACCATCCACACTGTCCCTGGTTTGGAAGCCTGGGAATCACATTGTATTTATAGCTGCCTCTCTTTGGATATGCACCCTTGGAGAGTCACTATGCTTTGCATAGATTTTTGCATTTATGCTTATAAGAAATGTCATTCATAGGTATTAATTTCTCCTTTCCACTGCGGGCAAAAGCTGAAGGTCAAGGTGATTACATACTAGCCGAGGGTACCACAGGTTAGTGGGCAGAGGCAGTATTTAAACAAGGTTCTTCCTGGCCCCAAAGCCTGTGCTCTTCAACACAAAGTAACATACACAAGGCCCTAGGACATATTTTATTTGCTAGAGAACTGAGTGATTGGTACTCTAAAGGAAACATTATCACAAGAATCTGGATTTCAGACTTTTCTTTTTTAAATTCAGAAGATCTGTTAACTGGTCCCACATTTCAAACTGGCTGCAGGGGAATGGTGGCCATCTTCTTTGGAAGGGGCATGCTTTCTTCAGTTTGCCACACTCCCTGCCACTCCCTATTGTGTTACACGTGGCCCATTTTCCTCATCAGCATTATTTATCTGACTCCTTCTGGCATTTGAAGTTATTAGTTTTTAGTTGTAGATGGACACAATACCTTTATTTTATTTATTTATTTTTATGTGGTGCTGAGGATCAAATCTAGTGCCTCACACCACCTTCTATATAACCCCAGCCCCTGGCATTTGAAGTTTTAACTGCTATTACATTGTGTCTTGGGCTCTGTCGGTCTTTGATTCCTCTGCAGTCCCATTGGAGGGCACAATGCAGTTCTTGACATCACTAATCGAATGCTTAAACATCAGAATGGGCTCCACTGGAAAGTACATTTAACTAACATTCCGCTCTTCTACTGGATTCCAGTAGTTCTAAGGACTTTTTCATTTTTATGCTTCTAACTCAGGTATGAGCTTCTTGTTTCTGAATTTATCCTCTTTGATCCTCCACAGGTGTTTAGCCACCTTAGTCTCAGAGCATTTTTAAGGACCCAGAACCTATGACCATGTCTCCTCTCTGTGTTTTTAGCTGAAATATTCCTGTCACCTTCTGTGTCCTGTCACCATCTGTGACCACGAGTTCAGCTCCACTGCAGAGAAGAAATAACTTAAATATACTCTTGAGTTTGATTTCTGCTTTTGGAAATTAAAATTTACAATTTCGTTATGCACCTTGAGTGGTTGTTACAGATAAACTAGACCCAGGCTCCTTGAGTGTGGATTTTATTATTTCTCATAAGGAAATCAATAGGCTCCCAAAGGTTTATTTTATACATACACACACACACACACACACATATATATATATATAATATATGTGCATGTATACTATATATATTTTAAGTGACTACATATATACATATATAATACATGTTATAATTTTCTGATTAACGTGTATGCATTGTACATTTTAATAGGGCTCATTCTGATATTTTTACCTATGAGGTATACAGCATGCATTGATGGAATTGAGGTGATTAGAATTTGTCTTGCCTTATTATTTTATTGTTTCCTTCGAGCTCATCTCTTTTAGATTTGCATAAATATATAATAGGTAATCCTAACTATAATCATGTCACTGTTTGGGGGGTACCTTAGAACTTCTATCTCACTGGGATTTGATGGCATTAACCAACCCCTCTTTGTCTGCCCTCCTACCTTCCCAACTCCTAGAAATCACTATTTTCCACTCAGGCCAACCCTTTTTAGCTGCCACATGTGAGAGAGAATATGTGTTATCTGTCTTTTTGTGTTTGACTTCTTTCACTTAATGTCCTCTAGTTCTGTCCATCTTGCTACAAAGGTCAGGGTTGCGCTCTGTATGGCCAGCACTCTGCTGTGAATACAGACATCTTCTTCATCCACTCATGCCCTGGTGGGCCCCTCGGTTGTTCTGCATTCTAGCCATTGTGAGTTGTGCTGCAGTAACCAGGGGAGTGCAGGTATCTCTTTGGCTTGCTGATTCCATTTCCTTTGGATGTATGCCCAGAACTGAGATTACTGACCAGATTGTAAGATTACCTATTTCTTGTTCAGCTTTTTGAGTTTCTTATATGTTCTGGATATTAATCCTGTGTTAGATCAATAGTTGGCAAATATTCTCTCCCATCCTGTAGGTTGTCTCTTCACTGTTGATTGTTTCCTTCATTCTACAGAAGCTTTTTAAAATTTTGGTATAATCCCATTTATTTAGCTTTACTTTAATTTCCTGTGATTTGGGGGGTCATATCCAAAATACCATTGCCTATACTGATGTCTTAAAGTGTTTCTTTGAGTAATTTCATAGTTTCAGGTCTTAAATCTAGGTCTGTGTTCCAGTCAGTTGACTTTTTTACACCGTAGCAGACAAAGGTCAACTTTGAGCCTTCTGCATGTGGATATCCAGTGTTCTTTGCTCCATTCATTCCAAAGGATGTCCTTTCTCCAGTGTATGTTTTTGGCACCTTCGTTGAGGATCATTGGCATGTGGCTGTATTTCTGGGATTTCTCTTCTGATCCACTGGTCTAGGTGGTGCTGTGCTCTTCTGGTTACTCTGGGGTGTTTGGAGGTCAGGTGTTCCTCCTGCCTCCCGCCTTGTTCTTCAGGTTCAAGATTGCTTTGGCTATTTGGGGTCTTCTGTGTTTCCATGTGAATTTTTTTTCCTTCTATAAAGAATGTCATGATAGGTATTACATTGGCTCTGTGGATTGCTTTGGGTAGTACAGATGGTTTAACAGTATTAATTCTTCTAATCTAAGAACACATGAGGTCTTTCTAGATTTTTGTGTCACCTTCAATTTCCCTCATCAGCGTTTTATAATTTCCATCATCTAGATCTTTCATGTCCTGGGTTAGATGTACTCCTAGGTACTTTATTTTTCATAGCTGTTGTGAAGAGAATTGCTTTCATGTTTTCTTTCTCAGCAAGTTTGTTATTCATATGTAAAAATGCTACTGACTTCCACTTGTTGATTTTGCTTGCTGCAACCTGGAGTTGTTTTGTCAGTTCTCATAGCCTTTAAGTGGAAATTTCCCCCTTTACTTTTTCTTAGATAATAAGATAAAAGCTTAAGTTCTTATCCAACTGAACATAAATTTTGTGTTAACGTGATCATTTTTTCCCCAAAACTTATTTCTTCATATTAAGGGAAAAAAAAAAAAAACAGGTTTAATTACCTTCAGTGTTGTACACAATTAGAAAATGGAAACTTCTATATTTTAAATGACTCTGATACATTTTCTAGACACAGATAAGAATAGCTAATTTTATTTTGTTCTAAGATGAAGAGATTTGAGATATTGTCCTGATTTGAAAATAGCATGTCACATAGTGATGATAACATACAGTGCTGTTGTATGTTGATAAGCATTCAGGTGTCTTCTTTTCAATGAGAATAAAATGGAATACAACTCAGGAAGGAGAGAATTATATTTCACTCCTTGTTCATTCTCACTATGGAGAATTCAAGTATTTTTGAAACCAATTGTATGGTACATTTTAAGTATTATGCCTAAAATTTAATGGCTGTCATGAACTCTACCCAATGTTGAATAATCAAGTTGAATATGCCAAATATGAATAGTGCTTCAGATAATTAAATCTGGAAGCTATTTTTGTTTGTTTATATATTTACTATGTCCTTAACAATAACTATAAAAATGGTCAGTTTTGCTAAGGAGATCTAAGCACAGATGCATCAGTATAAACTTAATACAAGTATACATGAGCAAATTTATTTAACTCTTCTTTCTATGATTTAAATTACCTTCATTTAATTTTCAGATTACTCTTAAAGTATTAAAAGAAGTATAAGTTTTATCCAAAGCATTGTTCACTGCCCATAGAAATGCAGATGCATATATGTATGTATACATCATATTTAATGAGACAAATACCCAGAGAAAACAAAATAAAAATTCCCTACACAATTACCAAATTTAAAATTTAAAAATGAACAGCTTCACATAATTTTTACACACTGTAAACTAAATTCATGTTAAGTGTGTAAATTCCATACCATAAACTCATCCTCTGAAAGCGTATAATTCAGTGTTGGGCAGTCATCGCCAACCTTCAGTTTACAGTGTCTCCTTCCATCCCAATAGATCACCCCTGTCCATTGCCGTTGATCCCACACCAGCCACAGCATTTGTCCATCTGCTTTCTGCATTTAAGGTTCCTTCTTCTGGACATGCTGTGTAAAGGGAATATACTTTGTTACCTTTAGTGTCTGGCTCCTTCCCCTGGTTCTGTGCTGTTGAGGTTCCTGGATGTCACAGCACCTGTGGGTGCTGGTTACTTTTTATTCCCTGAATTGCTCTGCGTTGTACGGACATGCAGTACCATTTTTGTGGGTTTCAATAGCCAACTTGTAAAAAAAAAAAAGTTTGTATTGAAGAAACCAAATCAAGGTCAAAGGGATAGGAATAGGAGATATTTTTAGTGCTTGTTGTTTTATATGGTTTTAATTTTTGAAATTCAGGATCCTGTCTTATCTGTTAAAGCAAAGTGAAAAATGTGTATAAACAAGACAGTAAAGCCTTACACTGACCCAAATCCTGCCTTCCTTTAGAGAATCACCATCAATTTATTTTAAGCATTATTCAAGAATATACATGCACACATACACACATGCATGTAAATATACACATGCACACATACATATGGGCATCAAAGCAGACATATGTTTTATATTACAACAAAAAGAGAATTGTGGAGCTTAGTATTTTAACATAGAAAGCAAAGCTAAGAAAAGCGAAGGGATTAATGAGCTAATCCACTCACAATGAAGAAACGGGAAAATCTGTGGACTCCATTTGTTGGTTATCATGTGCAAACTTGTTTTCATTTCTTAAAGGCCCCTCTGCGTTTTCTTGCAGGATACTTCGGATCTGCTTGTGAAGAAAAGGTGGACCCTTGTGCCTCGTCACCATGCCAGAACAATGGCACCTGCTACGCAGACGGGGTGCACTTCACCTGCAGCTGCAGCCCAGGCTTCACGGGGTCCACCTGCGCCCAGCTCGTTGACTTCTGTGCCCTCAGCCCGTGTGCCCACGGCACGTGCCGCAGTGTGGGCACCAGCTACAAATGTCTCTGTGACCCAGGTTGGTGCCGCCGACCATAGACCACACACCTCTTCTTTCCTCAGTCTCAAAGACTTTCGTTTTTCTTTTGCATCTGAGTAAATGTCATCCCTCGGGATATAACTAGAAGTGAATTCTACTCAATTATGGCACACTGTAGACTGCATTAGGCAGGGCTTTAAAAATATCTTTTCCCCTTTTCATGACTGTCGCATGACCAATTCACATTCATTTCAGAAAACTTAGAATATTCACGAAAGCACAATGGAGAAAATTAAAAGGCTTCATCTTATAACAGGGCAATTATTTTTAACGATTGCCTATAGGCCATTTCAGAGCTTTTAGTGTATGGTTTACCTTTTACTGTTGTGTGCTTAAATGGACAGAATAGGTTTTCCTATTTTAGTGTGTGCATGAAAAGTGCAATGTGATCCTTTCAGAAATGTGCCATCTATTAAAATTCTTACTCTGTGCATAGTCTGCTACCCTCTGACTTCCTGTATTAACATTCAGAAGCTTCACCTTTTATTTTATGAGTGTCTTTTTCATTTGTAATGCCAATTTTTAATCATGGAAGTTTTGATACTCAGAAATCAGAGTGATTACTAGTTGCAATTTGTGTCTTTCCAACCTTCTGGTGTGGTCTGAAAAGAATTCATGGATTGCCCTTTCTTCTTTCTCATTTCCATTCTGCCCGCGTCTCCATCCTTGTATGAGCTAGCTTTTTAGAATGCTTCCTTGGACAAAAAGTCTTCACACACACGCCCCTGACCAGGCAGCATGGCTGGTTTTGTTTGATTTGAGCTCTGCCATGTGCCTGGGATGCCTCACCTGGGAAACCTCTAGGGCTGAGATTTCTTCTTCCGGGTTCCAACCATCCCCCACGATATTACTTTTGCAGTTCTACACCATGAGACAGACCTGCACTGAAAATGACCTTTCAGTAAACAGAGGGTACATGCAATGGCATCCTGTCAGATTATGTAGCCTCCTGGGTCCTAGCTGTTTTAGCTTGTGTAAGGAACTACTCTGATGTCCAGACAGTGACAGACTCGCCACTCCTCAGCATGTATCCCAATCCTTAAGTGACACATTACTGTATTAATTTTCCTTGCATGTGTCTCTCTTCCTTCAGGGATGGAGGAAGTGTGCTTTCTTTTAACAGCTTTTGGCTCAACAAAAATGGTCCCAAACCACCCCCGGGTGATAATCTTTTTGCACTCTGAGCTGGGTGAGTCACATCTTTGGTCCTTTCAGGGTCACATTTTCACGGAGTTTTGGAGGTCCAGTCATGCACCTGTGGTCACACATCCAGTGGGGAGCTGAGCCCAGATTCCAACCCAGGGGCTCCTCATTGTATGGCCCCAGTGCCTGGCCCCGCACCTCCCAAGGGCACACTCACACTCATGAGTCAATTAAAGGAGGTAGTTGGAAATGCAGCTGAGCATTTGAAGGGTTTTGAAAAGCTTTTTTTTTTTTTCCCCATAGATTCCTAATTCTCTGATTTGCTAAGCAGTTGACATTTTGCCAAGTTCCTCTTTCCTCTCTGGTCTGAATTACAGAGGAGGGGCTGTTTAATCGGCTTGGTAACAGTGTTAGGATTCTCCAGAGAAACAGGAGGGAGAGAGAGAGAGATTTATTTTAAGTAACTGGCTCATGCAATTGTGGGGACTGGCAAGTCCAGCATCCGTAGGGGAAGCTGGCAGGCTGGAAACCAGGAGGCTTTCTGCGTTGTGTGTTGGGGCTGAATTCCTTCCTCTTTGAGAAACTTATCTTTGCTCGTAAGGCCTTCCAGCGATTGGATGGGGCCCACCTGCATGTGGAAGGTCAGTCGCTCTACCCAAAGTTTACTGATTTAAATGTTAAGGTTACCTTTAAAAGCCTTCATAGCAACATCTGGATTTGCATGAGAGCAGATACCTGGGTACCACCATCTGCCAAGTTGACACAGGAAGTTCACTATCCAGTACCTTTTGGGTTTCTCCTAAACCTCAGAGGGAAGAAGTTTCTTCCGTTCTACTTATGACACAAGGGTATTTTTCCAGATTCACACTATCTTCTCCTGTCTGAGTTGGTGGAGAGGGGAACCCGTCCCCTGAGGGCCCTGATCCGTGTGGATCAGGGCATGTGCAGTGGGGCTGATGCTGAGGACAGGGATAGTACCCATCTGAGCCCTTCCCCACAGGAAGGCAGAGCACCGGGACGGTTTTGTGTTTGCAAACTAAACAAGCTGCAGTTGTGCTGGGGAGAAGGGCGCCTCATCACGGCGTGACTCACGGGTCGCTGCTCCTGCACGGCACTCAAGTTGTCATAACGTGGGGTGAATCCCCTCAGCAGCAATCGGAGGTGAAATCCTCCTGTCAGGAACTTCCTCCGTACTTCATGACCTGTCCCCTGAGAGTTCTGACTCCCCCCATGACGTCCCACAAAGAAGAACCAAATATGACAAGGCTGAGAAACAACTTCAGTTTCTCCTCCTCTTCTCCTCTGACGTCCTCCCTTAGCAAAGTCTATATGTCTAGTTGCTTTATTTTTAAAACCTTAAATTGAGTGCAGTTAAGATAAATGGTGCTCCTTAATAATACCAAGTAGAGTTTTTCAGCTTCTGTGAGGGGTGTCCCTGGCCCTAAATGAAAAAATAAACACAACATTGCTGAGTGTTCCTCTTTATACCTGGGAGAGGTACCTGAGAGTGGAAGAGATCCTGCCTGTGTGATCCCCACTTACTGACTATGACCATAGCAAATTTGCAGGGCATCTCTGGACCTCAGCTTCCTCCTCGGTTGGAAAGAAGAGAGGGCTGTGTTTGAAAGCATTAAATGAGAGTCACGTAGCCCCTTCCCTGGCACGGAGTAGAAAAAGCTCTTCATTCTCCTTTCTTTCCATGCATTGAGATTCCAGCAGCGTTCTTCAAGCCAGAATGGCAAAAGAGCTCCTATTTAAGTTCCACTTTCCCCTCCCTCTGTTCTCTGCTAAAACGTCATCCATGTCCATTTGGAGCATTTAACTTGGAAATTGCCTGTGGCCCAGCAATATCCCTAAGCAGCCCTGAAAAGCCTGGAGAGACAGGTATCCATTCCCTGAGATTCTCATGTGTCAGGCAGCCTTGGGGTTCTGTCAGGGCTCACTCATCAAACTTGGGAGACAGAATTGCTTTCAGAGAGGATGCTTCCTCAGATTGTTAGGTGACTTTGTATGAAATAAAAAAGGCATTTTAGCATCTGGCAAGAATTTACATTTTAAGAGGTGAACATGACAAGTCTGTGAATGTGAAATTTCTCGTCTTAATCTTTTGGAGCATGTAATTGCTTTACTATTAGTTTGCATAATAGAAGAATTTCATGAGAATGGGTGAAATTGGGCATCGAGCTGCAGAGCAGGAGCCTGATCATCTTAATCGAGAGCAAACGGATCTCATTTCATAAATGGCAGCAGATTGAAATCATGTCATGTTGATAATTAGTTCCCATCTGAAAAAAAAAATACCATTTTGATGATTGCAAATCAAATTCGTCAGGTGCTTTATTTTCAAGCCTCATTTTTAGCTTATCAGACCAGGCATTTCTGATGGGGTTTAATATTAAATAATAAAATGTCAGCACTGAGAAATCACTGAAATGTTATCTTCCAGTTACAGTGTTAAGTGATAGGCCATTCTCAAAAAAAAAAAATTGCAAATTGAAATCTGAAGAATGGAGAAAATGAGACCTAGAGCTGCTGCAAACATTAGGTGGAGAATTCTCCAGGGGCAGGCCATCGTCCCTGCGCATGGGCACCATGGAGTTTCATGTGTCCTCCATAGCATCTGGAGATGACCATTTGGAGGATAAGCACTATAGATGACCATTGCAGGAAGTAGACTTTGTAGGAAGGGACGTGGTTTGCCTGAGCTCACTGGACCTAGTCCCTGACTAATCCACCTGAGCTTTACAGGTTGTAGCTTAACCACACTATATAAAGTGTTTAGGATACTTAAGAATTTAAGGTATTAAACTCTGAAGTTATTTAAGGTACAAAGCATAAGAATATATATCAACTTTTATTTTCGTGAATAATGTCTTTGATGCCTGTCAATTCAACTGCAGCTGGATTCCTGGACTAGACCTAGGGCAGTTGCTGATCACCATCCTTGCCAATTCTTCTTGACCAAGGGGTTGATATTAAATTACGTTGTCCAGATACACAATATACTGTAAAATAAAGGATGTTTAGGTTTCTTCCAAATGAAGTGGTTTCTTTTCTAAAGGATGGTACGGGAATTTCAGATGCTATGTTTATTCTGTTTGTGAGATTTGCCTTACCCGTGGGCAGTGCTTCTGGTCTGTGTGGCCCCTAGGACACAGCTGGTGTTGCTTCCTCCTCTTATGTGCAGACTTAGAAATATCAACACTCTGATAGTATTTTCTGGAAACAGAATTAAAGACTCAGTGATCAGGATTTTAGTAGCAATTGAGTAACAATAAAGAAACTAGCATACCCACAGAGCTCTGAAGACACAGCTCTCTGATGAGTGCCTAGATGTATTTAGATTCCTTGGAAAGTATAGTGGACAACTTTCATCTGTTACTCACCTTGATCTGGCTCACCAAGATGAAGACAAATACGGGCTCCTGATCTGCATATCACCTTGAGAGTGGATTGTATAGAACATACCATCTCTTTCCCCCAGATCCTAGTCCTGCTTCATACCCTTCCTTGTTTTATCCTCCAAAATATGATGCCTACCTTCACCATCTGGACCCCCCCAGAAAGTCCTGTTTACCTAGATATATCAATTTCCAGGGAGGTTTGCTTTAGTTTTTATAATCTGTATTCTACCTCAGAAAAAGTTCACATCTCTATGTGGATATCATGATGGCTGTAAGAACTGAGAAAGAGAAGAGCAGCCACTAACATTGGGAGCTTGTTTGGCACTTACAGGCCTGAAGTTGTTAGGGGCTGGCCTGATGCTCACAACTGGTTCAGAGTATCTCCTGTGGAACATAAGGACATAGACAACCTCCTAGATCACCAATATTGGA